GCCCCTGCCTGTGGCAGGGGGTGGAATGAGATGGACTTTAATGTCCCTTCCAACCCAAAGCATTCCATGATTCCATGATAACAGATCTGCTCCTGTCCATCCCTGGATGAGCAGAGGTGCCCTATGGCTGCTCCCACTGCCTGAGCCAGCACAGTCACTGCAAACCCCTCATTCCCCCCAGCTCTGACTGAGGGATGGGGCTGGAAGTGTGTGTGCAGCTGGATAACCCAGCTGGGAAAACCCCTGATCCTGGGAACAGGCAGGGTCAGGAGGGGCTGGGCAGGGAGGGGCTGTCACTGCTCTGCAGGGAGGGGATGTCCCTGCTCTGTTCAGGGAGGGGATGTCCCTGCTCTCTGCACCTCACAGGGCTCCACCAGCCCAGGGGAGACCCGGCGGCTCTGCAGCGTCAAGGTGAGGGGCCGGGACCTTCCCTGGGCTCAGCATTCCTGGGGGGACCCACCTGTGGGCCTGAGCACCCCATCCCTGCTCCTGACTGCCCCATCCTTGTTCCCAGCCATCCCATCCCTGCTCCTGACCACCCCATCCCTGTTCCTGACCACCCCATCCCTGTTCCTGACAGCCCCATCCTTGTTCCCAGCCATCCCACCCATGTGTCCCCAGGTATGGATGGTCCCATGTGGGGCTGATCCCAACCCTGCCCTGCCGGAGCCTTCCTGCTCCTCCCCACCCCTCCTCTTTTTCCTTTGCTCCCACAAAACTCCCCCAGAGCCCCCAAATTCCACCTGCAATGCCCTTTGTGCTCTATCCCTGCTCTTCCCCTCAGGCTGGGAGTCGTTCCAGCCCCCTGTGATCCCTGTGCTCTCTCTCCCAGTGCTTCCTGGACGGTCCCTACGGGACCCCCACACGGCGGATCTTCCTGTCGGAACACGCCGTGCTCATCGGGGCCGGGATCGGGATCACCCCCTTCGCCTCCATCCTGCAGAGCATCATGTACAGGTGGGTGTCCCTGCAGCTCAGGGTGCCCCTGGAGACCTGGGAGCTTCCCAGAACGGCCCTGGCTGGGTTTGGGAAGCACCAGGTGATGTTCAGCCAGAAAGATCTGTCCTTCGACACCCTTCGGGGTCCTGCTCGCTTCCAACCTCGGCACTCAGTTCCCAGACCCCCAGGGGGGTCCTCCCTCGGTGCCAGGCTTTTCCCTGTGGGGACAGGAAGGGACATCCTGGGGCAGAAAAGGGACAGAGAGGGGCAGGAAGCACAGGAAAGAGCAGGAAGGGGCAGGAAAGGGAAGGCAGGGGCAGGAAGGTGCAGGAGTGGACAGGCAGGGGCAAAAAGGGACAGGAAAGGACAGGAAGGGACAGAGAGGGGCAGGAAGGGGCAGGAAAGGGAAGGCTGATGCTGGAAGGAGTAGGAAGGGGCAGGAAAGGGTAGGAAGGGGCAGGAAAGGGCAGAAATGAGCAGGAAAGGGCAAGAAGGGCAAGAAGGGGCAGGAAAGGGCAGGAAGGGGCAGGAAGGAGCAGGAAGGAGCAGGAAGGGCTGTATCCTCGTGCACAGGTACCGCCGGCGGAGGCAGAGCTGCCCCAGGTGCCACCATTCCTGGTGTGAGGAGCTGCGGGACCAGGACATGACCCTCAGGAAGGTAGGAATGGGAGCAGGAGCACGTGGAGGGGATGTGGGATCCAGGTGTGCCCTGGGGTGGGGCAGGAGGGTGCAGAGCCCACGGGCATCCCTCCCATGCGGGAGGTTTGGGCAGGGCATGGCCGGGTTTGGTGGCCGGATTTGGTCCCTGTGCTGCTTCCACCTCCGGAGCAGAGGCTGCCCTGCCCTTCTAGGTGGATTTCATCTGGATAAACCGGGATCAGAAGCACTTCGAGTGGTTCCTCAGCCTCCTGAGCAAGCTGGAAAGGGAGCAGGCGGAGCTGGAGCCGGGAGGTGAGCGGGAGGCAGGGCCAGCATTCCCGGGACATCCCCCATCCATGCCGGTGCCGGGGTGCGGGTCCGCGGTGCCAGCCGGGCTCCCCTGGCACCCCCAGGGCGGTTCCTGGAGCTCCACCTGTACATGACCTCGGCCCTGGCGAGGAGCGACGTGAAGGCCCTGGGGCTGCAGGTGGCGCTGGATCTGCTGGCGGCCAAGGAAAAGCGGGATTCCATCACCGGGCTGCGCACGCGGACACAGCCCGGCCGGCCCGACTGGGGCAAGGTGGGCACCGGGACACGTCCCAAAACTGTCCCGGGGGAGGGGGAACCAGGGATGGACCCCTCTGGGTGCGCTGGGACATCCAGATCCAGGACAGGGAATGCCAGGGGGGGCAGGGGGGGCACAGGGAGCCTGAGCTGTGCCCAGGCAGGCAGGGATCAGAAATCAGGGAATGGGTTGGGGTGGAAAGGACCGTAAAGATCCGTAAAATCCTTAAAGGTTCCAACCCCCTAATCCAGCCCAGGGATCACAGAACCATGGAATGGGTTGGAAAGGACCTTAAAGATCATCCTGTTCCACCCCCTAATCCGACCCAGGAATCATAAATCATGGAATGGGTTGGGCTGGAAAGGACCTTAAAGATCATCCCATTCCAACCCCCTGACCCATCCCAGGGTCATAAACCATGGAATGGGTTGGGGTGGGAGGAGCATTAAGGATCATCTCATTCCGACCCCCTAATCCACCCCAGGGATCATAAATCATGGAATGGGTTGGAAAGGACCTTAAAGATCACCTTGTTCCAAGCCCTAATCAGGCCCAGGGATCATAAGCCATGGAATGGGTTGGTCTGGGAGGGACCCCCTAATCCGGCCCCCAATCCCCTGGATCCAACCAGCACTCCCTCTCCCCCTTCCCCCTGTGCTCCAGGTGTTTGGGAAGGTGGCCCAGGAGCAGGTTGGGAAGGTCCAGGTGTTCTTCTGTGGCTCCCCAGCCCTGGCCAAGGTCATCCGGGGGCACTGCGAGCGCTTCGGCTTCCGCTTCTCCAGGGAAAACTTCTGAGCCGGGGCCTTCCCGCCCTGCCAGGCCTGCCCACGGATGGCACCGGGGCTTGGAGCTGCTCCATCGGGGCTGGGAAGAGGGGGGATGCACGGTGGGATGGGCCAGGGGGATGTGGGATGGAGGGGTGGGATCCTGGAGCCGGGTGGGATGTGGAGATGGGGGTCCTGGAGCAGCCACGGTGGGGTCCCAGGGATTTGGGATGGCAGGGACGGGTCCTGTGTCACCTGGTAGGGATTTGGGATGGCTGGGACGGGTCCTGTGTCACCTGGCAAGGATTTGGGATGGTTTGGGATTCCCCCCACAGGAGGGCACTGCAGCCCCGGGAACAGCTCCAGGCGGCCCCTCGGGAATGGGGCTGCGCTCTCGGGACCCCCGGATCCATGCTGGACCCCCAAGGTCCTCTGGGACCCCCCCGACCCCATCCCTGATCCCGGGGCAGCTCCGGCTGCTCCTTCCTGGGAGGCACCGAACGTTGTTCTGCAAAGACAAATAATTTGGCAGCTCCTCCATCCCATCCCTCCCCACCCCATCCCACCCCATGTCACCGGGGACAACCAGGAACAAGACAATAATTAGGGAATCCTGGAATGGTTGGAGTTGGAAGGACCTTAAAGCCCCTCCAGTTCCACCCAGGGACACCTCCCAC